TCGCGCCAGCTGCAGTAGTGGCACCAGCTTTGCTAGAAACAGCAGCACCCATGACGAAAGAGACGTTGGTTGAAGCCCACACGGACATCCGGACATCAGCGCCGACAGGCACCTTTTCCCGCACTCAGATGAGTCATCCGAGCTCTCCCAAGGCGCGCCTGTCAGAGTCTGCCTTGGGAGCCAGGTGTACCGTTTCGGGTTTAGGCGACGGGGTTAGAATCTTTGATGCAGTGGGTATGGTCAATGGCCGAGAGTTCCCGGCGATGTTGGATCTCGGCCGGTGTGGTGGCGTGGCATGTGGTGTGGTTTGAGTTGATGTTGAAGAGACCCTACTTGCCAAGTTCCAAGTTTACCCGCTCTACAGCCTCAACGCTAAGCTTCGAATGCCTTTTAGTATTTAGGGAACTTATTATAAAACCGAACCCGAAGCGACTGGCGACCTCTATCCTGCAACCCGACCCCTAAACAATACCGTAAGAGCCCTCTACACCACTGTTGCATTCCGCTTCGCTGCGGGTTGCCTACCAATGCCAGAGTTTCACAAGTCCCTGGACCCTAAACCCTTGCAAAAAATCCAAGGAAACCCGGCTAGAAACCTCCATACACGCATGCCTAAGCCTTAAGCAACCTTCAACCATCTTAGACATCCGGATCGGGGTCAGCAACAAGTCTAAGTGGCCGCCCTTTGCGGCACCGCTCTGAGGCCCAAGAGTCCTTGCCGCCGCCGCGCCGGGCCATGGTCTACCCGGCCGGGGTCTCTGCATTACCTTGAAAAGGCTACAGCACTGTGAGGATTATTGCTGGTATAACGGTTGCAATGAGGGTCCTCTTGATGTTACTATTCTAGTCGATCATGGGGTTTGGGGCTCCTTTGCAGCGCTCCTTCATGTCAGAGGATACTCCAAAACTCATTGTAAGGATTGGTTTTTCGGATATGAAGGTGTTGGGTTTGGGCCTGAGGGTTCAGGATCTATGGTTTCTTGATGTGTTCTTGTGCATGCTGAAAGCCGCGTGGTGGAGACTGGTTTTGTCAGAGATGCGTTCGGTGCCCTCGATGCGCTAACTCGGCCCGGACCCGGAGTTGCCACCGTTGCCCCATGAAGGCCTTCGATACCCTTAAGGGAACCCCCAAAGTAACCCTGCACCCCAAAAAGCCCCTTGAGAACACAAAGCTCTGCTTAAGAGCACGAGCGGCCTTCTCGCCTGGAGCCAAAACACAGAGCCATCTCGGAAAGCCGAGCCGAAACAGCCTCAGATCATGGGATTTTCGTCTCAGTTCCGGGCTTTTACGCGACGTCTTTCAGGTCATGGTCGCCTCGCAGCCAGAGTCGCCGAAGGCGACGAAGCTGCTGCAGGCAGCTCGGGGAGCATAAGATATGCTTTTTTAGATTCTACATTAATCTATGCCGAAAAATAATAGTGCAGAGTCATTGGGGGCTTACTTGTTACTTGGAAGACGTTCAGACTTTCTTGGTTTCGCCTTCAACAGATCTGGTCATTGGTTGGCTCATGGGCAGTTGTGAGTAGATTTTCATTCGGTATCCCTTAGGCCGTCAGGCTTGGTGTGGCTTTACTGCCCCAGTTGTGGCGTCATGCGTCTGTACGAAGAATCGAGGCTCACCCTTTTAGCAGGGTTGAGATCTCCGGCCTGAGATCCGAGTTGAAGCTGCTGGCTCTTGACAACGGGCTTCAGGAGGTGCCTCTCTCGCCTCTACAGACCTAACCCTTAAGTCTCGAAATGGCTCTCTGATCCTTGAAGCCCGAAAAAGTCTTGGCCGAACTTCAGTGTTGAGGCAACAGGATGCAACAGACACCAACTACAGCACATGCGGCATGTGTTATGCTAAGCTAGGAGAACGCTCGCTGATTTCCGGGCTCTTGCGCGGCATGATTCGATTCGGCGTGACAGCGGGGCTAAGATCAAAAAAAATGCATGCTCTTGCTCTTGGCAAGCTGCTCGGTCTACAGGTCCGTGGGAGCTGTCAACTGTCGGATAGTTATTCCAATCCGCGTTAACATCGTGGTTTGAAAAAGTCTTCCATTGCAGTGCATACTCACACACTGCGCAAACAACCCTGCAGCCCAAACTCAGAGCACGGCATCCGAACATTCCCAAACAGATGCCCCTGCCATAGCGCAAGTCGTGGTTCAAAGTGCCCTGAACCGCAGGCTTTACCAGTCTTGCCGGCACGGGTCATCAAACCCGGAACAGTACTGGCGATGATGCTGTGAAGTCAAGGATAGTCCCGAAAAGACTGGCCGTAATCGCCGAGAATCCTAATTGTCATCGTAACTCTGCTGTTGGCAAGCTTGCAGGTACGGCAGAAGGGCTGTAATCCCATCGTGGCATTTCTTGAGAATCAGGACACCGGCAATGGCAGTAAGAAAGGCAGGTATTACAGAAGAAGAATACATCTTCCATTGTGCTTTCAACCCCAAGCCTTATAAATTCTCGCTAAGAAGCCCTAAACCCAATGGCATTGAGCAAAAACCGCAGCGTAGATCCTGCGCCTTAGTCCCATGTACTCCGTGACTAGAGACCACAAAACCCCTGAGTACCCGAGATCCTACATGCTTTATAACCACCCGCCCAGCCCGAAAGACGTGAGGCACCAAGCCTGAGATCATCGGGAAGGCAGCAGTTGAGGGTTCATGTGGGTAGTTGTCAAACTTATGGTCCCTCTTGGGGTCCCTAATATAATACGGCACCGAATATTTAGGGTACCCAAAAAGGGGCCACAATTTTGACAACCACCCATGTATCTTCGGGTTTACACATCAAGTGTGTGTGGCGCTCAGGGTTCAGAACAGCGTTCAGCGTTTAGGGTTTGTGTCTCAGGGTTGGTTGGTGGTCTAGGGTTCAGAAACGGATCAAGGAGTAGAAGCCTGAATCGTTGTGAGGCTCTGAGGACACTAAGGCTCACTAAGGATTCTAAGCGAGGTATTACGATCGTGGAAACCGCACTGAATTTGAAAGCCTGGGTCTTAGATGATGTCTTCTTGCAGTGTTTAATTGCAGCCTATTGGGGCTGTGAGGGTTTGTGCTTTATGGCTTAGACTGCCTATACCTGAAGGAGTTTGAGGATCACTGGTTTCGAGCCGAAGTCTCTTTCGGGCCGCGACTTGGGGGTCGTGAAGGCAGCTAGAGTATAATGGCATTGTACCGTGGACGGCCAACCTTACGCTTGCAGCAAAAGCCTATGCCCTAAGCCTTAACCCCAAGCCCCAAACCTGAAAGCTATACTTTTGAGCACAGTGCAACCCAAACCTTCACTGTAATTAACAATTTAACGTCCTTAACATTTGCCCTGCCTTCGAACTCTACGCTGGCTCTTCTACCCATCGTACATTGTATGTAAGGATACAAAGGCTAAGAGCTTTCTGCGGCTTTTAGCAGTACGGCTCCCGATCTTCTCGGATCTTGAAGGCTTAGTCCCACATCCACTCTCGGGAGCGTTTCTTCGCCACAGCTCCGACTGTCCTTTGCTCAGCGGCATTAGGATTCCACGGGTTTAGGGGGGACTTAAACCGCTGGCTCGCCGTCGACACACCTCGGGAACGTCCAAGCTCGACTTGCAGGAGGAGTAGCCTCTAGGAATCGCCGTGGAAATTATTCCTTCTTATCACTAAACTACTAGAACATGGTACATATGTTTGCTTTTAGAAACCAGTGAGGGTTTTTCCTGCGCTGGCTCTTGCAGTGCGAGCCCTTTCTGTCTGATTTAGATGTAAGCGTCCCGAATATTCTGAAACTCGCAGTGAATAATGATGAACATGGTGATGGCAACAGAGGCTTCCGACTAAAAACGACATTCGGCATGGTGTTGTAGGCCTGTTCGGCGCTTGCCACGATCACGAACACTGCATTTACACTCGCAACTCCTCATTCCATGTCTTCATCACCAAATTTCTCCTCTTCCTCTTGTGACTTCGTGCCTAAACCCAGTGCTACTAACTGTCATCCTTATGGCAGCGCAGCATCGGCCCTGATAATTATTCTCACCGAGGCCTGCGCGGTCGCTCCTCACCATGCGGTCGAGCAGTCAGGACCAGGCAAGGTGAAGAGATCAGAAGGACAGTTTCCAGACTTGTCTTCCTTCAACCGCCGCAAGACTCCAAAGAGGACTTTCAAGCTTCGAAGCCTGAAATCCACAAGCCTTCAGAGCCTCAAAGCCCTCAACTTCCCTAAACCCTCAGTAGGCCCCTATAGAAGGCCCTAGTAACCCGTAGTGGCCCCTATAGAAGCCCGTAGTACCCCAAAGAGCGAAGCCGTAGTAAACTCGGCGGGGCCCGCTCGGCCTACAGGCTTTGGCAGGAGTCTGCTCGGACCTCGACGATTTCGAGGCGCTTCATCAAAATAGGGACCCTAATATGGTACCCTAAATAGTAGGATCCTTATTAATTATAAGGACCCCAAAATAAGATACCCATAATTTTCGGAAACTCTCGTCTCCTCGTCTCGTTGGTGACTTGAGTTCTTGGTGGCGCTTTTGGGGGGTTCTGGGCGGGTCTTGCGGAAGGGAAAGCGGTCGCTGGTGGTTTGCACCCAGTTCTTTCGCTTTTGGCTTCAGGGCTGTCAAGGCCTATCAGACTCTTCAAGTCGAAATGCCGTCGGACCAGGCCAACATGGAGAGCATCCCCCGGATCAGCAACTTCTTCGCAGAGCCTCATCGGCGGAGAGGCGAGAATTTACCGTCTGGAGCGTCGAAAGCCGAAAGCGGATTCGGGTTTTGGCAGGCTGCAGCCGTCGGGCTTGGGATCTTCGACGCCTAATCTTCTGAGTTTAGATGCGATTCCGGTTCTGCATCATCCTGAGCCCCAAGCACCAAAGATCTTTCGGTGCTCATGGGCTGCTGAGCAGGTAGCCTTACCTCCAGTTCAGAACCACCCGAAACGGCCGCAAATTTCGAGATCAGCGTAGCAGTGTACTGGTAGCAGGCATCTCGCGTGTTTAGAACCCCAGAACTGGGAACCGTTGAGCCGCCAAACTCGACGCCGCCATGCTTTCGAAGCTCCACCGCCTTAGCATGCGGATGCCGGCGGTTCTGCATTTGGTTTTGGTTGAGGTTACCGGCCTGGCAATCTTCCAATTTTCGATCTTCTTCTTTCTCAGAGGTCTGCTCTCGGAGGTTTTCATGATCGTGCGTTACGATTTGACGCAGGTGGTCGGGGCGGTGTCTTACAGAAAGTTCCTGTGCTACCAGGAAGCTTTCGTGGAGTACATGTGGACTGGCTGGCTTCCGCCCGCGGACTGCTGGAGTCTGGAGGAACTTCGCCAACCAGACATCTGGTTCGGACAGCCTTCTACATCAACATTTTGATCTTTTTCATCTTGCTGTTCCTGGCACTGGTCCTCAGCGTTTCCTTCGTCAGGACGCTCCCCCTCTCTATGCCAGTGTCTTCGGGGAAGTACTTGCAGTTCCTGTGGCAGGCAAAGATGAGCCGCTCCTACACGATACCGTGCAGGATTCTAGAAGCAGTCTCGGTGGTGTTCTTGGTCTGCTTGGTTCTGATCAACTGGCTTCTCCTCGGGTTTGAAGGCCTAATGTTCATAGTCAGAGAGAAGTTCATTGAAGCGTTTATGGTACTGACGACCATGCGGCACTTTACGCGACCAGTTCGGCCTTGCTTCAACTTCGAGGGTGAGTGGTTTGCAGAGACCCAGTTCGCATTCCCAATCTTCAAGAACGGCAACGCCATTGGCAGCAGCCTGCATGCGGGGCTTCTGCGAGGTCATTGCAGGGGACTCCGCTCTAGTTCCTGATGCTGGGGGCACAAAACGCATTCGCATTGCGTTGCTTGGCAAGGGAGAGGCATATGAAGAGGGTGCGACTGTCAGTATGTAGATGTTGATCCCTCTGCTTGGCAAAAACTCGCATGCTGAGCGCTGCGTACCTGCTACGCTGAGACCGGTCTAGGCCTTGGCACCTGAACCATATCACCATATCCAACTCTCGAAGAGGAGCTTGGTGCAAAGTGACGATCAAACCCTGGACTGCACGTAGCCGTGATCAGCCCAGTTTGGGCATGGGTCCCACAGAGCATATCCAACTTCCAAAGGGAGGTTGGTGCATAGTTACCAGGGAACCCTCTACGAAGGGACAGCTACAGGCGCCCCTTGCCCACTCACTAAAACTGCATGTTCCTCGATTGGGACAATTATTTGGTTTTTGAGGAGCATATGCTTTAAGGGGGCTCGGGGGAGTAGCGAAGACTGTCAGGTCCAAGAGTTTCCCGATTTCGTGGGATGCAATTGGTATACTCGACTGTTCCACAGCGCAATCACTTTGTGCAACGTCGTTTCATGCGGTCTGTTTTTGGGCCGTCGCATCGACTGTGCCAAGAAGCAGACGCCTTGGTCGGGATGGCGAGTCTCCAAAAAGACGAGGATGGCTCCTCATGCGCCCCAACGCCTCAAAGCTGAAACCCTAAAGCGTAAAAAGCCCTCCCTAAGCCGCGGTTGCACAGGACTCCGGACTCAGAGCCAGCAAGGATCCAGCAGCTCTATCCTACACACTTCGGTTCAAGGGAAGCTACGGGTGGTTGAGTTGCGCCTTCAGATTCAGATGACAGCTAAAGTCTCTAGGGGGTCTGCTTGCAGGTTTCGATCTTCTTATGGGACTCGTAGACGGTTCAAGATGATCATGTTCCGAGGTTGCTATGGTTTGATCGCATCGGTATCTGCAGTCAGCAGGAAATTGAGACCTGAGACCTTAACCTTTGGCTCCCACAGCCCGGGGGCCCCTGGCCCCTAGCTGCCCAATGGAGGACTAGAGAGCCCCTGCGCAGGCTCCAGGGAGCACTCCGGGCATGCGGCTGTGGCCTGAGAGCCGGTGAAGCTAGTCGGCTAGTCGGCTAGTCTTCGTCTGATATGATCCAAGCTTTACACGGATTTGGAGTTTCTGGCATAGCATAAACATCTGGAAGTCTTAACCTGCTATTTCCTGGGTGATTGGGCCCCAACGTGGACATGGACATGGGCACATACACAGACACCTACATATGCCCTAACCTCAAAGTGCCAACCCATAGTTCCGTTTATAGACACCGTACGCACGCAACGTTATTGGTTCAGTTGTGGAACTCGCAAGGTTTGTTTGGGTCGTGTAGACGACGAGGTCTGCAGCAAAGCAGGATGCCGCCTCTCTCTTGAAGCGATCGACGGCCAGGGTTTTGCCGGAATGCTTTTCTTCTGAGGTTACACCTAGACCCAGAGACCTTACAGAGCATGCTGTTTGAGCCGAAAAGCCCTATGCAATGCTTGAACACCCGTAAACCTTGAGAAATTGGCGGGATTGCAAGCACGAGGTCGGAAGCCAAGATGATCCAGGCATCTCCGTTCCTTGTGGTTTCTTAAACCTCAGACTCCTGCAGGACATCAAGAGTAGGTTGCCTTGCTTCAAGGCTGTATGATGTTTTGAAGGTTGTTTTTGTCTAGTGGCGTTGGGTTTGGTTTAGTTTAAGGGGAAGCATTCAGTTTCTCGGAGAAGCTGACTCTCGAACAGGGGGGGGCTGGGTCGTCCGGACAAGAATGTAGTCGGGGCTTGCTGCTTCGCGCCATCGATGTCGCACTCTCGACAGGTATATCAATCTTTTGGACGACTTTGGTTTGCTTCGAAGGTCACAGGCGTGAAGATTGGAGCTTCGTGTTTGAATGACTCTCTTTGCAGAACTCGGGAGTGAACTTCTGCGTAGATGGGCTGACTTGTCAAGCCTCGAAGGGATTCGCTGGCTTCTTCCCAGAGCAAAGGTAGGGAGCATGTTACCATAAGCTGGCCTTCGGGAGTACTAGCCATGATACAGTTACCTTGCTGATTGTGGCCGGGCGTACCTGCGAGCTTCATGTCGAAGACGAAGCCAGGCATCTCCTTCCAGATTCCCGACTGACGCTCAGGAGCGGGCAGCTAGGATGCGGCCCCTGGGCACCGTAAGTCAAGCCTGAAGCCTGAGGGCCTTGACTCTAGTCACCAAACCCAAGTCCCCACCAAGCCCTAGAACCGCTGAAGGCCGTCAAAAGTCTGAGAATTTATGAGGTGGGGAAAGTTTTGCCTAGCCGGCATCTTCTTTACACACAGAGATCTCAAGAGTCCTTAACCTTATGTAAGGGCCTGAATGATCATTAAGTCAAGCTTTTACAGGTCCCTGTTCATGCCTGGCCTGCGGCCGGCAGTTCGGGCTATCAGCCTTCCAAAAGAAGTAGATTGTGGTGGTCGATCTTGTTATTTACGGGTTTGTGTTCACTCACCCATACAACCTCTTACTGCCTCGGGGTTTGAGGGTTTCTGCAACTCAAATCCGTCTGAGAAGATTCAAGCCCCTCAGCGCGTGGGGCTTGTTTTGCAGAGTTTATATTTTTCCGCTTGAAGGATGCAGGGTTTTGGAATTGAGAAATTTGATCAGGGGCCGCCAATTGGCGATGTAGAAGAGCCTCAGCTTCGTCTCACCTTTGCCAGGCGACTGCTTGCATGAAGTGCAGATTTAAAACTGCTCACCTTTGAGATCCTGGTGGTCATGGCTCCACAATCCCCCATTGTAGTACGTTCAAGGAAACAAGACACTGTTTTTCTCGAATGATGTGTGAGAGAGGGGGTTTGGCACATGTGTGCAACCATGTTTCCGGCTTTTCATCAGCAACAGAGTGACTTGACCTCTATCCAGGCAGAGTTGTATGGCAAAGAAAATGTAACGTCTTTCTCAAGGCCCGGACCCTGAATCCGAGAACCTACAGCCTTGAAACCCCAGCCCGAATCTGCAGCCCTTGCTACTGATTCCGGAAGCCACAGGTGCTAAGCCACAGCGCCAAACCTTAAGTCCTCAAACAAAGAATCCCAGACAATAGAACGTTTCGAAGAGCCGCATGCATTCAGTTCTCAATAGTCCGGGCAGTCGCAAGCCCAGCACGAGGCGTCAACTTTGAAGCATTGCAAAGCTTTTCAGTCTACGTCTACTACTACTACTACTACTACTACTACTACTACTACTACTACTACTACTACTACTACTACTACTACTACTACTACTACTACTACTACTACTACTACTACTACTTACTACTATCTACTATCTACTATCTACTATCTACTATCTACTATCTACTATCTACTATCTACTACTACTACTATCTACTATCTACTATCTACTACTACTACTACTACTACTACTACTACTACTACTACTACTACTACTACTACTACTACTACTACTACTACTACTACTACTACTACTACTACTACTACTTATACTACTACTTATACTACTACTACTACTACTACTACTACTACTACTACTACTACTACTACTACTACTACTACTACTACTACTACTACTACTACGACTACTACTACTACTACTACTACTACTGCTACTACTACTACTACAACTACTACTACTACTACTACTACTACTACTACTACTACTACTACTACTGCTACCACTACAAAATCTATCACATCACCTGCTCCTACTACGATTCCTACTCGCCCACTCCGAGTCCCACTCCGACTGCCAGTACTACTGCTGATGCTACTGCTGCTCTGCTACCACGACGACAACGACGAGTTCTACTGTCTTTTTGGCACCCGTTGTTTCTGTGAATGCTCCTGGTGGTAGCAGTATCAGTGGCAGTAGGATCGTATGGAGTATTCCTGTCTGCACACAATGCAGAGTTTTGTCCATCAGTAGTACTGTAAGTCGTCGAATGTTCCCCGACTGAAGGGGATGGGTCTACGTGAACGAGCAAGCTAGTCCCACTAAGCTTTCTGTCAAGCGTACCTACTAAGTTCCCCGATCATACGAAATTTCCCCATCCTGCCGGAGAATTTAGATTCTGTTTTACATCAACGGCCATGCCGGCCACCATGGCAATGAACTTGTTGATGCGTACGCGCGCAGCGTGTGGCAATGCGGTACCTCTCCGGGTTGGGGGATGTTTGGGGTTGCGGCCTCACGTTTCGGGGCAGGCAGCAGTGCGTACGCTCGGTCGTTCTGCGGCTTCCATTCTCGTGCGATTTCCGTAAACAAAAGCTTAAGCTGTGAACTCCGTTCAAAAGCAGAACACCGCGCGAGGCTTTCGTAGAAGTGGCTTGTTGATGTTATCGTTTCAAGCAGCACAAGGTAGCACAATCCTTCCTTGTGAGGCTATGTTCGCGCCCCCCCGTGCCTAAGGTTTGCAGGTTCGGACTTTTCTCCGTGCAACATTCCTCGTTAAGGGTTGCCTTCAAGCGTGCTTGTCGGGTGGATTCGAACTGTAGGTTTGAGGTCTTCTATATGAAGAATCAATTGAGTACATGTCAAACCCCACAGCTGTTTGATGATGACGTCTATCACGTGACTACAACTAAACCCTGAAGTCCCAAAGCCCTGCACCCTTGAACTCTTTTCCCCTTTCAATCTTCAACCCCGGAATGCCCCAGACTTGCAGCAGGCCGCATGGCACGGCATGGGGAAGTGCCGCCTGTCTTTGGTTCTTCGATCGCTCCGGCGCCACTGAGATTGGAGAGTGCGGAGTTCAGAGGTTCAGGGGCTCAGGCCCATGAAGGGCTTTTGGATCTGGGGAGGGGACTCTTGGATGTAGGATCTTCCGGCTCCCTGGTTTTCGGGTTTGGATTTCGGAGGAGAAGCAGAGCTCGCATCCCGAGCAGCATGCCTACTGCAGGACACATCTTGAAGGTCAGGCCTTGCTTAGCAGCAAGCACAAAAAGGATGTGTCGGAAAAACTGTCGTTTGCATCTTACCAGGCAGACAAGTACATGGACATATCGTCCCTCTTCAAAACGCAAGTGTCCGAAGCCCCCGCGAGCCCCGATCCAGATGAGAATCACTGGAAAATGAGAACACTAAAAAGAGTAATTGAGAGAAGTCCTCCCTTGCCCAGCCCCTGATTTTCAGCTTCGGGTCTCGGGTCCAAGGTACGGATCTGACATGCTTCCAGACGAGACGGCTTCTGAAGGGATTCTGAAAGCCTGTCGCGAAGGCGGGAGCGGGAGCGGAGTGCCTGAGATTTGGATCTTAAAGCCAAAAGGGGGTCAACTCTAATTGTCTTTCCCAAGTTGCCGCAATGCCGCCCGTCAGTGTGGCCTCGAGCCATTCAGGGTCTTTAGGATCTAAGCCCTAACAAAGCTAATCGAGAGTTTGGAGACGCTTCGGGTCAACCCCGTTCTGTACGGTTTGGGGTTTAGGGCATGGAGGGCATCAGGAGAACAAGATACCTGAGACTCTGGCAAAACGACACACAAACCACTTGGACGTAAGGCTCCTTGCCAGACAACTCGTTGCGACGGACCTTACTACTCGGCCCTGATCCCTAAACACCGCGGAGGATCTGAACCCCTGGATGTCGCATTGCACGTCGCTTGGCCCGGCCTGGCATGAGGGGATCGTGGAGTCTGTCTCAGCTTACTAACATGTTAACATAGGACTTTAGCAAATGCTTACGGCCCCTATGTTGTTCGTACTTTGCGGTTGTTCTTTCTTCGAATGTTCAGAATTCAGAGCCGGAACAAGGCAGAATGCCTGTACATGGAGGCGAACCTAGGGCTTGGATTGAAGTCTTGAGAGAAACGAAGCGGTTCTGCAGCCGTGCTGCTGTAAGCTATACGATTTGGTGTTCTTTACCCGGCAAGCCCAGAAATTGCTTAAACACCAAAATTCTTCACTTCCAAAAAATAAGCTTTAGACCACTACCATCATGATGGCTATGACGACGACGCTGGTGACCGTGAAGATATCAAGAAGGATTTCGCAGACTGCCTGATGATGATTTTGACGATGAAGAACAGGCAGACACGGTAGAGGGAGAGGCAGCGCAGTAGTTCCGATTCTAGCAGTAGGAGTAGCATTCTTCTAGGAAGTCCCTAAGTAAATGAGCTGCCGGAGTAAGCGGCTTGAGCGAAGTCTTCAACTTTGCTGAGGAGTGTTTCCAGCAGCTCCAACAGGACAAGCTGCTCGCGCAGGGAGGGCGGGGCCAAGAAATGGCTTGCGGTTGCAGTGTACAGCTGATGGCTCTTACACCTATGGGTATGTGTTGTAGCAAAGGTGCCTAAGCATGATGCTTTTTTTCCTAGGAGCAAGCAGACTCCTCCAACGGTGGGTTGCGCTGTTGTCAGAGGTCTCTTGTCCCGAATTGGCCTGCCTCGTGCCACAGCAAACGGCGAGATCAAGCACAACTAGTCGTTTCAGAACCTAGACGCAACATAGCACTGCCACAATGGGTAGATGGTATCGTTGTGGTCGTCCATGGTACCTACTGTTGCTGCCTCTGTCGTCTTGCTGCTATTCGAAAAGGCATGTGTTGAAATAGTGCAAGACTACTGCAATCCGCCGATTTTCACGACTGGTCGTTCCTTTGTCGGTTTGTAAATAGTTCGTGGCCCGGAAGTTTTCCTTGGTTCGACGAGTGTCGACAGGTGAAACTCTAAGACTGGTGACGGCCACGTCTCAGATTTCAAGTCCTGCTTCAAGATAACGCGCCCGAGGCTATGCATGATCTACAACAGCTTGGAACTCGCAGCCAATCTTCCCTTTGCCATGCTGTCTCAGCTCTTGTGGCAGGCCCTGAAACTGTGCGGTCTGGGCAGCGCGGATCGTTCTGCCCTAGTGCTGTAGATACTCGAGACAGGATATCGAGCCTCTTCGTAGGGAGTTGAGCAGTCTGGATCGGGTCCGAGACGATGGGCTTTCGAATTTGACGTTATGCGGACTTGAGGTTTCAGGATTGACGGTCTCGTGACAGTCCGAGTTTAGGGCGTAGCCAAGCTGAGTTGAGAGTTTCGGGCTCTAGCAAAAGGCCTCCGGCATAGCATGTCAAAAGCCTACATCAGCTCGAACAAAGACCCCGTAGCTGCGGTCCCCCTTCGAAAATGTCTGGGACCTGCGGTCTTCTCGGTCTTCCCATAAACGCCTAAAGCTCTTTCTGACATCGTGCCATCGATCGGATTGTTGGAGATGCAAGCAAGTAAAAGTATTCACCTGCATTGCAGGCATGACACACAAAACGTACATATACAGACAGACGCGTGCGCACGTACAGACAGACAGACAGATAGACAGAACAGACAGATAGACAGACAGACAGACAGACACACACACACACACACTCTCGGGTCCATCCAAACATACCAAGCTGCAGTCCTTCGATCGAGGCGGCCTCAACTGACACATCCATTGAGCCGCGCAGAGGGCCCAAAATCGGCGCTTGCGGGCTTTCAGGTTTGTACATGTGATGTGGTTACAAACCTCAACCTCTTCAGAACCCGGCAGTTTAGGCACCCTCAGAACAGCACGAGAAATTTTTGTGGGTCGGTTTTGCCGAATGCTTGAAGCTAAATTTCTCAATCTCTTCACCCCATGGGTTTGCTGGCTGGGTCTGCTCTTTATGCCAGCCCCGCATGAACGCTGCTGTAACAGCGCAAAACCCGAAGCCCGAAGCCCCAAACCCAGCTTCCAACCCAAATAAGCCTCGCTGGGTACCGGCCCCGTTCAACCGGACTGACGTAACAAATTTAGAATGGCCTTCCTGAGTCCTCAAATTCACGAGATCCCGAGCTAGATTCTCTCCTCGGCTAAGACCTCGTCGTAAGGAAGTGTATTCCCACTTGCCCGTCCTCTACCGCAAACACCCCGTGAGCATTCCCCAACATCTCATCAGCCGAAGGGGTTCGTGCCGCAGCCGTCTGATCAGACCGAAGAAAGCTCATTTCGCCATTTCATAAGGAATACATACTTCACAATATCCCTCCATACAGGACCTCTGAAGTGGCTGGTGAGTCCCCTGATATCTGATGCTATATCATCTATTCCAGACACCATATTATACAATGACCTAGGACCTAGTCAGCAAATCCCCAAATCCGCTCTGTCCCAATCCCCCCAAACTGCCCTGCCATAGCACCTCCTTGCACATGTGAGAGATGATAAAAAACACGGAGAGCAGCTTTTAAAGTAGATGCGCCCCCAAGGTGAGAGCAATCGATTTCCTTGTAAAACGATAAGAGTAAAATGAAACGATAACGAATATGTGACACATCCAACAGTTTGGAAGTCATCCAAAGTACTGTAAAACGATAAGAGTAGAAAAAACGATAAGGCTGTTGAGGGACAAGCAGATGGATACGGAATCTTCACGCATCCCCATGTCGCCGGTGCCAAAGGACCCCAGATATTATCTAGCACTGTGGTCTGCGTATTTGGTGATGACAGTCTCAGGCCTCCCAAATAGACACATTCCGTGCTATATGTCCTAAATCACTTGTGATTGGGCCCATTGCTGTCCATATACATGTTCTTGTGTGTAGATTTGCTTCTTGGTGCTTGATATTTGTGGCTTATGTATATGCAAACACACACGCCCACAACGGTCTGTACCACTTGTATCCCACCATGCATGTATATGTGAGCGCGTGGTTGTTTGTGCACGTGCCTGTTTTGCAAGTTCATCGGTTAGTCCGCATGCATGTCTAACTGTGTGCTTGTATGCTTGCTCGCTGGTCTGCTCATGCCTTCGCGTCCATGCGTGCATGCGCGCGTGTATGTAGGCATGCATGGACGGATGCATGTAGGAAGGACGCAGGTACGGACGTATGGATGAAGGTTCTCCTGTTTGTTTTACGAAAGGGTCAGTCAACTTTGAAGCCCAAATGTTGTCCAAATGACAGTGCTGGGCCATCTTTCGCTCCATACATGGGCTCGCACGACCGAGCACGTCCCGAAGCAGCAACGCTGATGCAAGACTCTCTTTTAGAGAGATGCGCGCTCTCAACGCCAAACTCACGAGAGTGTTGCATCAGCATATTTATGATGTGCTCGGTCGTGCAAGCCTATTTATGGACCGCGTGGAAAAGCACTGCCGTTCCATCTGTGCTGCCCTGGGAAGGGGGCTGATATGAGAATGCCTTGTCGGAAATGTATGTGTATGTACACATGCATGTATGCATGTCTGTGTACGTGTGTGTGTGTGTACGTGTGTGTATGTCTATGTTTTTGTGCTCATGCGTGTAAGTATATGTGAAATTGATCTAAAGGTCGTTGTCTTCGGTTTTACACAATACAGTATTATGACGTAAAACAGCGTTTCCGCGAAAGATTCGCGATGGGTTGGCCGACATAAATGCAAAACACCGGGAAAGCTGGTACGTAACAGACTTGAAACACAGGAGACCCCTAAAGAACATGCAGTCATGCTGTGGGTGTACCCTTTGTTGCCCAGTGCCGCAGTACACCCAAAGCCAGGGTTTGACGTGGGAGTGCTAGCAAGGTTAGGGATTGAAAGTGAGATTTGGGCATTCCGTGTTGGAGTGAAGCAAGTCATCCTGATGCAGACGTGGTACGCCGAACCCCAGTCTTGTAGCCCCTACATGGCAACTTCCTCTAAAATCGATACAAGAGTTGAAGAAACAACAAACAGCTCCAATTGTGGTAGACATGCTTCGAGGGCGTGGTGGAGCGAGCTGCCTGGTCCCCGGCACCTATCAGCGTGTCAGGTTCCGGGCGAAGTCGGAGAAGTCGTTTCAATTCGGAGAAGCGTCTCCTATTGTCCTAGTGGCCGCATTCGCACGAACAAAGTGTCCTCATATTATCCCACTCCACTCCCACGTGAGCATTGATAAGTGATAAGACGAAGAAGAGCATCTAATAGAGTCGAGAAACGCAAGACTTGGGTTGGTACCTTTGGAGGTGTCCACAGCACGCACGGAAGGCCAAGGAACAGGCTGTGCTTTGCCTCTGTGCAGAGTCTGATGTAGGCCGGGTAGGCTTGCATGATAAGTTGCCCGGCTGACCCTACCAGATGACACTTCTGCCCCCTCTTGCTGAGATCAGGGCATAGCTGCCAAGAAGATCGTTGATTGTCTAGAGTAGCTGAGTTAACAGCTCTTGAGAGTGGCATGGCAACGAACAGAATCATTTTCGAACTTGACGAATATACATGCAGCATGCCGCGCACATTTCTGATGAGACAATCTTTAAGGCAAGTAGTGCAATGTGCAAGTATGATGTAATACAGAATCCACAGCAAGCAAAACCACGCATTGTGATTATCG